GTCGGTTGTTCTGGTACTATACTCGGTTTCACCTTATGTTGTACCGCAGCCGCAGCGAAGGCTAGAAGCGCGAGCTCACAGCGTTGGCAGCTGCCCTTAATGCACGAGAGCTTGTGCCGCCAAGATGTGCCCTACGGCAAGGAGCTCGCGCTTGTAGCCCTTTCCTGCGGTACATCATCAGGTGAAACAGAGTATAGAGGTTTCTTTCGAATTGATTAAATATTTTCCTTTTTCTATTTCTTTTAATTCCTATAAACTGGATTGCCACGGTGGTGGTCACGCCACCCTGAAATTACTGTTGTTCCTGAATTTATTGAAAAGGTGTAAAGAATTTAAGTTTAGAGAGTTATATACGTAAAGACAGGGGACGAGACAGCACATCTTTCCCTGTCCTTTACCCATAAAAACTCTTTCTAAACTTACATCATTACCAACGCGCTCACTAACAAGTATGTGTAAAGAATGTAGCGACAATTTCTTTTTAGAGCGCAGCTCTTAGGCGCCCGTTTCTGGCTTCAGCGGCGTCGCCGTCGGGGTAATCGCGCGGTGCATTATAGGAAATGTCCCATAATGCACCGAGCGAGCCCCCCCCCCCCCCCCCCCCCCGGGGTCACGTGACTCCCCCGGAGGTCACGCCCCCCCCCCCCCCCCCCCCCCCCCCCCCCCGAGGTCACGTAACCCCCCTCCCCCCCCCCCCCCCCCCCCCCCCCCCCCCCCCCGGAGGAGATTCAAGAAGGAGGGGAGGAGGAGGGAGGAGGGGTCTACCCTCCCCTCAGTACCCTTCCATCCTCCTCCTCAAGAGTTGCACTCTAATTCGGCGTTACAGGGAGTTGTAAACGGCTTTCACTTTTTTGTTTGTTTCTTAAAATTGGTTATTACTTTTATTTTTAATTGATGCAGCGAGATGTTCGGGAATCGGCACCTGGTGTAATTGTTTCACAACCGAGAGTGAGGATACTTCAACTTCCTCTGCTGGTGCAAGCATGTGCAATGACTAGCTTCTGGCCACTATGAAAATTGAAACATAACCGCGTGGGTAGCACGTGAAGTACACATAGCGAGGAAAACGGAAGCGCCCTACCGAGCTTTCCTTACCTCTTTCCGGGGGTGTAGAAAAAGTTACAAAGAGCTGGCTGTTTTGGGACGTCCCACTGAACAGCATCCCTCATCCCTCGGCGACATATTTCAATTTAAACCGTGTTTGAGAGAAAGAGAGGGAGAAAAAATGAAAGCCGTTTACAACTCTTTGTAACGCCGGATTAGAGCACAGCTCTTGAGGAGGAGGAGGGAAGGGTACTGAGGGTCACGTGACCTGGGGGGGGGGGGGGGCACGTGACCTGGGGGGTGTCACGTGACCTCGGGGGAAGGGGGGGGGGGTCACGTGACCCCCAGAGAAATTTTTCCGCTAGATTTAGCGGGGAAATTTACCCCATAATGCACCACGCGGGTGACGGGCGACACTGATGCCGACGCTGGTCAAGCCGGAAACGGGGTGCCTAAGAGCTGCGCTCTAAAATAAACGAGCGTCGTGGAAAAAACTTTTTTTTGAGTTCTGCCTATTTGCCCACTTCCCTTTGTATTTGAGTGCCCCTGCAGAACCACCAGCTGCGTGCGAGTGTATTTGTCGTACTTGGTGGTATGTTGCGTAATGCTTGAAGCTTTAGTGATGCTCATGTGGCAATCGCCGAATGCTCTACAGGCTCTCCGGTCAATTGGTCGGTCGGGTCATGAGTCTGTCTCTTTGCCGCAGGGGTCTGGTGAGGATCACCAAGACGGGCATGTACTTCAAGTCCTGCATGAAGGCCAACCGGACGGTCCCCGCTGGCCTTTAAGAAGGTGGTGCGAGAGGTATGGCGACAAGGTCTGCTTCATCATGGAGCACAGCAGGTGGACCTTCAAGCAGGTGAGACCCTTTGCTTCCCTCTTGCGTCAGAGTTGCCATTGTCCCCACTTTCCGGGCCTCTGGGTTGCAGAAAAGTCACGCGATTGCACTTTCCCGTTGTTGGAAGAGCTTCTCACATTTTCATGAGGGGAGTCCCCGTATGTAAGCTACACGCAACCTGTGAGAATATGTTGGTTTGCATCGAATTTGAGAGAAAATAAAATGCCCAGGCATTGCGAGTGAACTTGACCGCTCATCATTGAGTATGTGAACAGCAAATAGCTCGGGAACGTCTCAGAATTTCCGAGACGTTTGAGGTATGTTCGGTGGCTGTGGGATTATAGTGGAAAGATCTCTAAAACACAGCCTCTGTGTGCATTTCTGAACTCAACTTTGTTTGTTCCTGTAAGGTTGAAATGTTTTTCTAAAACATTCCACATTGAGTTTACTGACAAGCGGACAACCCTGATTGACTCGAGCATTTGCGCAGTTGTGTACGGGTGTCGCTTGGACTAGGCCTCCTCTCTCTTTTGACTCGCTGGGTCATTTGCAGGTGGCGTTTCTAATGTAGCAGATATCCGATCACTCGTTGAGACGTTTCCAACGTCAGCCATGCTATACACTCGGATGGCGAGATGTCGGCTGCCGCTCCGAGGCTTCCGGGAGGTTCATTTTAGAGTTCTTACTACTTCGGCTCTTTTTGGGGCGGAGTTTTTGGAGAAACTTAATTTTCGTAAATCTTCGATACCTCAGCAGTTCCAGGAAGTCAGTCTGAAGAACTTCATTTTGATATCGCGCACAATTTGCCATCTTCCTTTGCTCACTTTCCAGATTAATATAGCATGCTCAAAACTTTATGAATCGCAACTATCCAAGACGATGGAAAGAAAGTTTTGTTGCATTTAGAAATTACGCCCAAATATATTTATTTTCAAAATGATTCAAACTTTTCGATAATGGGGTCCATAGAACCGGGGCAAGGGTACGGCATAATCTGCACAAACAAACGAGGCCGGTGAGAGAAACTTAAGAGCACGGTTGCGCTTATGGACATGGACGAAAGGAAAGAACAACACGAAGCGCAACCGTGGTTTTAAAGATTCAGCACCAGATCGCCCGACAGTCGGCATTGAACTTGAGAGGGAACCCTTTCGAAGTCTCCAACTGGCCGGGGGCTTGGCTGAAGCCCCGGATGTGTGTGCCTAATAAGGACCCAGTTGTTTCTTTATGCTGCTTTTAACCTTGCACTATCTTCATAGTCGAGACCTTTTAGCATATTTGTGTCAGTGCTGAGTGTTGTGTTTGTTAGGCTTCTGCTGACTCGTATAAATCTACATTGGAATGTCTAGTTTTGTAAACTGCTGACAAATGCTTTAGAACTTGCTGCATTATTTGTGGTGCTACACTTGGAACCGTGGGAGGGGCCCCTGTCAGACAGAAGTGCCTGTTGTCCCTACTTAGAATCTAAAGAAAGGTCTCTTGGCCCCGAAGAAGCGGACTCGCACACGGCTGGGCTTGCCTCCATTCTTGGCCTGGCTTCTGCCAGCGTGGTGGGCACCATGATTCTATCTACTTACTGGTCTGGAAACTTTGGCGGCTTCCATCCTAGGAATTTTTGTCACCACAAGCGGTGTTGATCCATGTAGGAGTAGAAACGAGTAAAAATAAAAAATAGATGTTTAAAAAAAAAATGTCTCTCAACATTTAAAAAATTATTTTAAAGTAGATGTAAGACCATTCCCGTGGTGCTTAAATTCTTTTTAAATAATACGACTCCTTGGCAGGGTGGAAAATCAATGATTTAAATCCTGATTTAAGTTGAGCATTTCTCCGCAAAAAGAATCCTCAAAATACTGTTTATTTACTTTTTTTATATCATTCCCCTCTTTCAAATGGGGATTTGTTTAAACCATCGCGCAATAAATATTCATAGCCGCTAAACATGAGGAAATAGTGGTGAACTTTAGAGCAGATGGGTAGCTGTAGTTGAGATGGTCGACGTCGATACAGAAAATCGCAAGCAGAATCTGACCAAGTAAATCAGGCATAACAAGTCGGTGATGGCCACTGGTAACAATTGTAAACATCTCTTTGTATCTACCGTTTACATTGAGCCTACTTACCCCAACCAACCCTCAAACCTAGATGTCTTTTAAGTCATGCACTTCTTATCGCAGCCACCAGGTTAACAATTGGTCTACAGGCTGCTGTCGTTTGAACTCCGAACGAGCAGACGAAAACAAGCAGAAACATTTGAAAGAGCAGACGACAGTTTGAAGGATCAGGTGGCCGTTTGAGCTTGAAGACACACTGAGTATTGTCCGCAGGTGGTCAGTACAACTTGGCGGTTTTGACACGTTCATGTTGGATCAACACAAATAAATCTGACGACCACAAGTATCCGTGACTTTAACCCAAAGTGCTTCCTGCACAAGCAATTGTAGTTTGGCGGCGTCTGGTCTTTCTTTTTCACGGACCCTATACACATTCTCGGACGAACCGAGCAGGCAAGAAACCTGACTGACCTTCAAACATTTCCTGATTTTTTTGGTACAGCCCCAGTTGCGGCATTTTGACAAGAAGGCAGGTTTTTGTCTGGTTTCGGCCAAAACAACACAGGAATGTCCATCCCGCATGGTGACCTCCACCCACAGCCCCAGACCGGAAATATGCCTAACACGTCACCACCGCGTCGTTATCAAACTTTTATATTGAAAAATTTACCTAGTAATAGAGAGTCCCTATTTCCTAGCTACGGTAACTTAAATTAAATTTATCTGTGATTTTTTTTGTCTCATTTTTAGGTTTTTAGTATACACCTTCCAAAGAAACACTCGGCCCCAGGGACAAGATAATCTTTTCTGAGCCCAGTCACCGAGTTTGGGGCTAGTCTCTCATTGATTTCCTCGCTAACTTTAACCGAGTGGACTGTGATTTCGATAGATGCGGCCTGCATAGGCGCAATTTCAAACTTGGCTGGCGGCTAAATTCTCGTCTTTTCCCGCTGTTTTTTGTGTTTCATGGTGTAGGTATTTTCCCTAGGATATTGAAAAAGCATTGTACTGCATTTGAAACGAACAAAAACAAAAATTAAACTATTTTTGTTGGGTACGCGCGCGACAGAATGAATGCAGCCGAAATATTTTTATTTGATTTTTTTACGGTAAGTTACGAGGGCATTGCTTGCTCAGCCGAGTGTCAAACAACAAAGTACTTAGCTCTCGATAGTAATTTACGACAGAAGGTAGCCAAAAGGCAGGCACATTTCACGCAAACAAATAACATGTTGGCCGATGGACAGCACACGGACATACAGTTTAGTAAGTGTTAACATTGAAACAATATATTGTACATACCACACGGTGCAGCATTATCCGAAAAGGATTTATTTGAGAACCCAAACAACTATTTTTGGCGATGGCTGACAAGGACTCTACGCGGATTATTTCTGGCAGGGGGGAGAACAGTTGTCATTGTTTGCAAAATCACGTCGAAGGCCGTTCGACGGCCTTTCCCTTCTTCGCTTCTCTTGAATGTCGAGCAGAAATGCTCGAATGGCAGGCATTTACCAGTCCTATTTCTCGCAGTGGAAGATAACACGAAAAGGGTACGCAGCATCCATAAGAAAGTGAAAACTTTCGAGAGAGTCTGGAAAACTTGGAATGCAAAACTGCAAAACATGGGTGGAGAATCGCGCTGAGCAGGTTTCAGCAGTCCAAAAGAGTGGCAGTTCTAGCTGATAGCGGGCGTGAGAGTAAGACCATCGTCATCAGCGACATAGTGGTGGCCTAGGAGCATTTTTGGAAAGGTTTTTCCATCTTTTCAACGGGTCCGTGGGACAAAAGAGTGGACGAACCCACGGACTTTATCCACCTTCCCCGAATCCGCGTCCATTGGTTAGATGGTTGGAGCAATCCTATTGGTCGACTCCGGACGTAGGGGCTCCGGCACTTGAATTGGTCCCCGTGGAGGGGGGAAGAAGTTGCGTAGCCGGGTGATCCCAGGACGGCGGGCATTTGCAGGTGGACGAGTTCACGAACCGGGTGGCCAACTGCTTCCTGCAGCAAGGGCTGCGGCCCGGGGACGAGGTGGCCCTGTACATGGACTCGCGGCCCGAGTTTGTCATGATCTGGCTCGGCCTGGCCAAGGTGGGCATCGTGCCGGCCCTGGTCAACAGCAACCTCAAGTCGGACCCCCTTGTCCACTCGCTCACCTGCATCGACGCAAAGGCCATCGTCTTCGGCAAGGAGCAGGTCAATGGTGAGGCCCCTCTACCCCGCCTCCCGAAAGACGTCGGCAGCCTCTTCGGCGTATCGTCGGAACGTTTCCACGCGCACATCCTCGCTCTAAGCGGTCGAAAAAAAAAAAAAAAAATGACCGCATCTCTACGTGGTGAATGATGTTGATTGGGGCAAAGCTCTGGTGGTGCTGATGATACTGATTTTATTGTTCATAAATAGTGCTGATGGTGCTGATTTTTTTTTATTGCTCATAAGTAGTGCTGAGTTCCAAGTTGCATTGGTATGGAATGTGTGGTATGGAACGTGGTTATATACGCATTTGAGAATTTAACTGCAGCGCCCTCTCGTCTATAAACGTTGAGCCAATGCATGCAAAGTTTAATGCAATTATATACGCATTTCACCACAGTGCCCTCTCCTGTATAGACGTTGAGCGGCTACATGCCACGTTTCATCCATGACATCTCCAGCTCTTGAGTTACTACCACATCTCGGAGCCCCCTACTCGTCCCGCAGTCGTGGCCGAGTGGTTAAGGCTAGGGATGCCGCAAACTTTTTTCGAATCGAAGTTTCGATGATCGAATCAAGCGGTTCGAAAGGTTCGAAAGATTTCGATTTTTCGAATTGTCTATATCGTAAAATTCGACGGAAGTCGAATTTTCGAACTTGTTAATCTAAGAAGTTCGACGCTTTTCGAACCGTCGAACTTATTACGCTAAAAAATTCGATCTTTTTCGAACTTTCGAACTTATTGCGCTGCAAAGTTCGAGGCTTGTCGAACTTCCGAACTTGACTGGCCAAAAAATTCGATGAATTTCGAACTTTCAAACTTGTTTATCAAGAGAATTCGAAAAGTTTCGAACTTTAGAATCCTGAAAAGTCAGAAGTTCGACGAACTTCGAACTTTCAGGGTAAAAGTTCGACGTTCGTCGAACTTCGAAAGACCGGCGGACGGTTTCGTTTGAATTCAAGTAGTGAGGTACATTCGTAATTTTTTTTCTCGAACTTTTACACGCGGTGCTGCGTTCCTTACGAAAGACAATGCCGTTTGCTTCAATGTTCTGGCATGCTTAGTTTTAAAGAAATAAATTCCCGAAGGGGCGAGGAAGGACGACGGGTTTTTGACAATTATCGTTTGTGCCAGATTCGAAGCGCGCTGTAGCCGAAGCTATTTATGGTACAGATGTTATAGTTTTTTTAAGAATGAGTGCCGTCTTAAGATGTGATTATGTTATTGAACGTGAGTTTCGAAGAAATGTCCAAACATGTATCTACATGCATTTATGCCCTAAACTTGATATTTATTTTCATCTAAGTTGTTTGAGGTATCGCATTTAAATTAACACCACAGACAGTACATATCATCGCCATCTGCAGAATACAAAATAATGTATTTATTGTTTTTTCACAATAAGGAATAAATTCACTCATGGGAGAAGATTTCTAGTAGTGTTCGAGTTCAGCTCGTCATCAAAAAAGAAAACTTTTTTTTTTCGCTTCACGTTCCTGGGATGTGTTTCTTTTAGCCTGTACACATTTTGGTAAAAGAAACTTGTTTCGAAGTTCTGAACCTCTGAATATGCAAGTATACAACACTTCCGGCGAATTCTTGATAGTTTTTTTTTTCTCCAGCTTTTTATCCCCGCATTTATTCTTTATTTTTTTTTTTTTTTACTATTGGCACAGGTATTTAGGTCTAAAAGACATAGCTTTGAACTTCCGAACCACTAAGCATGTGACGAGTAGTGCCTTCTGACGAGTTTCTAACAATGACCATCTACGCAATCTTTTATGCAGTGAAGATTGACAGTAGCTATACATATGCATAAATAATTTCAGATTAAAATAAGCTTGACCATGCCCTCTTTCCCCGTATTGTTTTCTTTAACAGTCCAAAATATCTGGAAGGGGGGGAAGGGAACTGAAGCCCCCCCCCCCCCCCCCCACACACACACACTACCCTCTTTCCCCCCGTTTTTCCTCTTCCGACGCCACTTGTATGGTATAAAGGCCCGACCACACCAGCGTGAATGGCACCGCCGTCCGGCATCCCAACGCGAGGGGTCCACGTTGGCCTCCGTTTTGCAGGCGTCACGTGACAGCACTGGTTCCCGCGATCGCGCCCTCGTCGGATTTCCCGCTCTTTCGTCGTCTGCTCTTCGTTAGATTCTTCCGTTCCACACTCGCTGTCTAGACGGTAGGAGTTCACAATGATCTGAATGTGACTATCCTAGCCTGCTCGTTGATCTTGCAACGTCGCCACGCTCTGAAGGGAAGGAGGCGCAGGTTTTGGGTCCGGCCGAGTTGGTTCTACCGAAACACCGAAGGACAAGACGGGTCTGGCGCGCCGCCGGGGCTTTGCTGCCCCGGCGGCGCGCCAGAGATGAAGGCTACTCTCGAAAGTGTCACCAAATCAACAGGACATCCGTCACAAAAGAGACGACATGCAACCAGTGCCACGGAGAAACTCACTTGTAATTGCGAATTCCCAGCGGTTAGTTTCAAGGAACCGCTCCGTTGGGGAAGGCATCGGGGGGGAAATAGGGGGAGCAGACGACACGAAACACGTCCTTCGCTTCGAGACGCGCCGAGGACCGGCTTGAGCGTTGCCATGGCATCGCAACGTCACTATCTACGCCACCTCCCATTAGCTCCTCTCTTCTGCGGCGTGCGGCGCTGAGCTCTCAACCGCGCAAGGAGCGGTTGGGTGTGCGGCGCCGCACGTCGTGACGTTGAAGCCGAAAACTGGTTTCCGCCAGCAACCGGCAGCGACGACCGTCACGCCGCAGGCCTCCGAAACGCCAATGTGGTCGTGCCTTAACGCTCCTCGACCTCGAGTTGTGTTGGCTTTTTGCGAAGCGATTCCTCCGTCCCAGAAAATAAACCTCCGGGAAAATTACAAACTTAACTTACTATATGCCAGCGTCACTCGGGCGGCGTTCGATCGGATTACTACCAGCGTGCGAGGGGTGGCGAGGTAGTTTGCCAGGTCGCTTCAAGGTTTTTCTGAGCCTCAATCTCCTGCTCGCCCCTGGCCGTTTCGAACTGGATGAGTCTCGTAAAACAGTGTGTTCGTGTGATCACTACTGCGTGATGCAATGCAGGTTAAAGACCCCCCTCCTCCCCGCCCCCCCCCCCCCCCGGGCTGGCGGTTACAATCACTGATCTATAGCCACACGTCACTCTGCACTGGCAAATATTCCAGCACATCCGGGACACTCTTCGTCTCATTTAATTGCCTGACCAACTTTGCAGCATTTAGATATCACGCCCTAACTTTTCTAAACTTGATTTTGTGAAAACCAGTGAGTCGTGAAAACATTATTTGAAACTGAAACTGTGGAGGAACTTGAAAAACGGACTTCGAACTTTGAAAACTTGGACTAGAAAGGAATTGAAAATCTTCGAAGTTTTTTTTTCGACTTTAGCGTTAAAAGAGAATCGAACCTTCAAACTTTTTGAACTTTATGCAGAAAGAAATTCGAAATCTTCGAATTGTTCGAACTTCATATCTATAAAAATTTGAAGCGTTCGAAGTTTTCGAATTTTATTTCCAAAGAAATTCGAAATCTTCGAATTTATCGAACCTGAAGTAAAAAAAGATTCGAAATATTCGAATCCGAAATTTCAGAAACCGTGAAAGCTTCGAACTTTTCGAATTCGAAACTCCACTGTGATCGAAAGTCGCGAATTTTTCGAATTCGAACCTCGGTCGGTACGAAAATATCGAACCTCAGTTCGCTTTGCAATTATCGAAACCTTTCGAAATCGAACCTGGGGTGGTTCGCGACATCCCTAGTTAAAGGGGCACTGACACCCCAAAGGTCGTATTTATTTTTATTGTCTAAAACGATGCAAGTTGTAGTCATAGACACGCAAAAAAAACCGCATCGCGAAAAAAAATTTTCCCGCGCGCGCGCGCGCCTTTTTATTTTTGGCGTTTGATTTTCCCGCCTCTCGCCTCCTCGCTTCTTTTGATCGGTGACGTCAAAAATCAGGAAATTTAGAAGCTTTGTAGGCGACATCTCTATAACATTTAATTACGGCAATCTTAAAACATGTTTTTTAACGCAATTGCGAACGCACTACGGCCCTTCTTTTTGAAATACCAAAAATCGGGAGTTCGTTGTGGTGCCGTCTCCTGGATTTGTATCCTCCAACGGAAAACAGGCGACACCGCTCAAAACCGGTCCGCCGCAACGCCGGCGCTAGCCGGCGTTCGCTCCTATCCTCCTCGCTTTGGGTCGCCATGGCAACAGCAGGGAGTGGTGACAGGAAAGTGGACTCTCAGGTCTCCTCAATTTTTGGTGTTGTGGTTCTCCTTAGGGCCACTGCCTTTGGGAGTACCACGCTCGCGGCGAGACGCTCTACCGCGAAGCGGGTTCGTACTCGCGTGGCATGCTGCTCGTTGAGCGCAAACAGACACCAGTCACGTTGGTAACGGTGATAAACTGTTTATTTACAATGAAACAAAATAACAACAACACAGCGGCTATAAGCTGGTGAACGCCGTCGGTGTGGAGATCGCCCACGGCCGAACGGTCGTTCACAAAGGTACAAAGTACGGGGTAAACGCTCACCGGTGCGCCGGAAGGGTCCCCGTTGTCGCCGCCGCCGAATCCCAGGAAGAAGAGACGCGAGACTGCTGTCCGCTGGTTTTAAGATAACGGCGGGGGCGAAGTGGCCAATCAAGGAGCGACACGTCGATCTCCTTTGTGCGGGGGTTCGTTACGGAAATCGCCCCAAGGGGGGAGAGGAGGAAGCCACTCACAGTGGTAAGCAGCGCGGCCTCTCGCTACGCCAGCGCGGCCGCCACGGCGCGCCAAAACGCTGACGCGACAGAATGTTGAGGGATCACAATCCCCACACTCCCCCCTCCTTAGCCAATAGTCACCCGCAAACGGGTGGACCAACACAAACACATAACTAGACTAAAATAATAAAAAAAGAAAAAGGCCGCCAGCGGCTGCAACACACGGGACACAACAGCCCGGCTCATTGGTCTATGGTCCAAACGTT